TTAAACATATTAGATATGATAAAAAGGATGCACCCATTCTCTATGCACCTTGAATAAAGGTCTCTCCTGAGACAGAAGATTTGTGTTTTAATGGTCGCCATGCTTATTTTTGGAAAGGATGTTATTATCCACCCATTCTGTTGCCGAGATATGACCATTTCTGACAAATTAACTGTTCTTGTCATAAAAATTAACTCACATGGAAAGAAATATAAAACTCCCCCCCCCCCAAAAAAATCTTTTAACTTTTGTGACAGAACGCTACGGAGGGGGTCATTACCGCCAATATCACGTGATTCGCGCATGCGCAGAACGGTGGTTGATGTGCATTAAAATCGGGGAGAATTAATTTAAAATATAATCAACATTAAAACCAAATATTTTTTCTTGTATGGAAGTTATTCAATTAGTTTGCGAACTTTTTGATCACCCCTCGTAGTTAAAAGGGACCATCTTCGGAATTTCGAACCCTATCTTCCACTCAGTCACACAGATGTTCAATGAGAAAGAGATGAACTTGACGGAGACCAGTCGAGTGGATGAATGTGTATTTTCATGCGAAATGCATGAAACCTGCAGAACACCATAATATGCAGAAAAAAGTGACACTCTCAAAGATTTTCTATTCAAAAATAATTAAATTTAAATATAAAAAAGATCCTTAAACGAGCAAAATTCAAATCACGACAAGGCCAAAGATCTTTTACATGTATCTTAACATAACTTTTCTGACTGATTTTTCTGACCGGCATGCACACCTTTGATACAAGATAGATATTATACGGTAACGTTTATATTTACGTAATTATTATTTTAAAAATTTATATTATTTACCCAGTATATTGAATTCAAGAGATTTTCAGCTTCAAAATCTCAAAAAAGGTTCAAAAGTTCATCGGGAATCAAAGTATCAAAATATTTATTATCTATCTGCTTTTGCGTGCACATTATTTCTGAACTTTGCATGGTTTTATACAAATTCTCTGTCACCATCACCCAAGAACAGACTTTTATTTTGTAAAAAAGGTTTTATTCAATCAATAAAAGAATAGTACCTGTCAATGACAGTGAATAATCATATTGGAACTTTATTTACATGTACCAATAATATCTTGTGCACAAATTAATTCTGTATTAGAAACTTCTATTATTAACAAAATATATATGTACCAATAATATCTTGTGCACAAATAGTTCTCTATTATAACAAAATTTTTTTATTTTTTTTAAAAGTGTTCAGCCTAATTAAGGTAAATGATTTTAACCCACATTTAAGAACATTTTTTTGACTATTACTAATAAATTATTACAACCTTCTCAATAAAAGAACAATCAGATTTAAAACTGAAAATCTATAAAAAAAACCAGCATATGAAATTCTTTGAAGCAACACACGTCACTAACATTTTCATGACCAATGACCAAATCCAATAAATTCGTATACTGTAACCCAGAAACGTCGAGTCTTCAGTTTCCCTAGTTTACAAGTACTATATCTTGTGCACATATTTATTCTGTTAAAAACTTCCAATATTTACAAACTCACAAATAGTTTTTTTAAAATTTTTTTTTACAAATGATCATTTGTGAACCTTAATTAATGTAAATGAATTTTAACCCACAAGAACTTTCTTGAGTTTTATATAATATTACTATCGATATCAAAATTTCAAGTTATCTCCCCCTAACCTTCTACTCGATGATTTTATGCATATTCTCAGACATCGTCAGTTAGGCACAGGCTTTTATGCTATAAATGTCTTTCGGCAACCGATAATAGATCAGTTAGCTTCGAGTATATAGGTAAATAACTTGATAATACTGAGTTGAACTCACGAATCAAAGTGTTTCACAAAGGAACAGTACCTAGTTTAAAGGCCAATCAAACCCCCAAAAATATGCTCAATTGAATCATCGATATGTTCAAGTTATCTCCACCTAACCTTCTACTCAGTGATTTTATGCAAATTTTCAGTAATCGTCACTTAGGCATAAGTTTTAGACTATATAAGTCTTTAGGCAATGGATAGCAGTTCAAATAGCACCCAGAGTGCTTGCCAATAACTTTGTGATACTGAGTTCCTCTCACTAATCAAAGAGGTTTTCATACGGTACATATTGAAGACCACTCAAACCTCTACAGATAATGTGCTTAATGGAGACGTATTGTGTCTCAGAAGCGTCCTTTTCTTAACCAATTTAGTTCATAAAACATAATTACAAACTCAAAATCAGTTATCTGATATCTAATGTGTTATGACTCTCTACTGTGCTTGTATATATATATATATATGTCATGTGCTTTTTCATCTTTCATTTTATTAATAAGCGTCAGGAAAGTTATGTTTAGATTCATATAAAAGATAATTGACCCAGTTATGATTTCATTCTGCTGCTGTAAGAAGGAATGCCTCACCAAAACTTTATTTCATAGATCTTAAAGACATTCCTCTTAAGTTATGATTTTAGCATTGAATGGCCAATATACATGTAAGCTCTTGATTTTTTAGATGATTTTTCTTCTTTTTTGACATTATATCATTAAAATAAATTACGGGGTGGGGGTCTTTTACCGAATTACGGGTCAACATACCTATATTTGTAATGTAAAGGATCTGTTAAGACCCCTCCTCACCGTTGTCACTTCTATCAAATTCTTTTACTCTTGTCTCACTTATATAGTCAATGAATTGAAAATTAACAAATTATACAAACATGGACTGGGAAGTATTTTGACTTAATCAGTGATAGTGCAGTCACCAAATATTGGAACATTCTGAAATCAGAGAACAGTCGTTTTATTTTAGCAATCAACATTTTCTTTCGCCTATGGTAAATTCTACAAATTTAATCGCCGGAAGGGGATAACTTCTATTTAGGTCCTTATTAATGATATACAACTACAATGTATCAATCTACTATTACTAGTATACTGATGCTGTAACTTTTGCATCCTTATTCATAACAAACCGCAAATTATTAAGCATATCTCTAAAAGATAAAGGAAACCTGCAACTCCAAGCTCCGGAATTCTTCCAATGTTTGTGCATCTTTTAAGAATGACTATCTGCTATTTTTTGAAACTCTTGTATTAATAGTTCTCTACTTATCTTCTCCTAACTTTCAACTTGTTGGTTTTATATAAAGTCTCCATCACCATCACTCAAGCACAGTCTTTCCTTCTGAATAAGGCTGTATTCAGCCCTTGAGTGCTTATCATTCACAGTGAACAACCATTTTTGAAACCCAGTGTCTTTAAATTCCAGCATCCAAAAATATAAAAAGCAACACTCGTCTCTAACATTTTCATGATAAATGCCCAGGTCCAGTAAAGCAAATGTATTGTAATCCAGAAACGTCTTCCGTATCCCTTTGCATTAAAATTCACATGTGTGCCATGTCTTGTGCACATATTTATTCGGTTAAAAACTTCTGATATTTACAAACTCACAATAATTATAAGTTCTCTGATAGAATTTTGTTTACAAATGATTCTGTGCAGCTTAATTGCGTTAAATTATTTTCAATCCTCTAGAATATTCTTGACATTTTCACAATATTACTATAGTAAATGTTCAAGTTATCTCCACCTAACCTTCTACTCAGTGATTTTATGCAAATTTTCAGTAATCGTCACTTTTCATATTTATACGATCATTTGCATAGTCATGATTTGCAATTTGCTCTCATAAGGAGTTTTTTTTTCAATTTGTAAATTTTTAAATTACTTGTCCATAGATAATCAAAGAGAGTGTTATTCTTATTAATTTGTTATGGTGTTCTACAGGTTTCATGCATTTCGCTCGGTATAGTCAATCAAAATTAGGTCATTTTGTGTCTAAATCTATTATATATAAAAATATAGATGCACTGCTAACGAAGTTCAAACAAACAGAATTATGGAAGGGGGGGGGGGTATTATGCCAAGAAAAGGTACCTGATCTCAATAAAATAGGAATTACCGTTTATAATCTAGAATTTTCCACTTGGGGATGTTTGCGAGGCAATAAATGTGCAGTATTTTTGGAGGAGGGATCTTACATTATGCTGGTCATAAATGGAAGCTAGAATACTTATTATTTAGACGCCCTTGCACCTTTTTGTCATTTTTCTTTCAAATCTTTTTTTTAAAGTTCTTTTTCTTTTCCCTTTTTTTTGGAAGGGGAGGGGGTGATCCATGCAAATCATATGCGGTTGAAAAAGTAAAATAAAAGAAAGGATTTTGCTTGGTGTGTCACATATGAATCTATAGTATGTTTGTTGGGGATAAGTCTATTTAATACATATAACTGTACTAAATTCCCTATGGAACCTAGGTACACAATTCAAGAAAACTAACTATTCAGAATTCACTATAAAAAAACTACGGAATCTTACTGCATATGTGAACACAGTTCACTATAGAAAAAGTCAAACAATACATAATTCACTACAGAGCCTAACTTTATATTTTATCATTTTATATGATTTTTATGGAGCATTTTACTTATGTTTACTAAGAAAATAAGTTTTATGTTTCTGTGTACTACATGGTATATAGGACACAAGGGATTATAAGTTGGTAGTTTTAGATTCCCCTTATCCTACATAATAAATCGGAAAAGGTTTTAGTCAGGAGTCAGCATAAGGGTGGTAATGTAAGAATTCTCGAATTCTAAGGTGAAATTTTATACGTATTGATTAGAAAAGAGGCATTATTGATCTGTACATGTAAATCTACATCGACTGGAATCCGTGTTATCGTCATATCCCTAGGAATTTATAGTACAAAGCTGATATATCTTATTGATAGAAAATAATTTTATAAATGGTTCAAATATAATACTTATTTAAATGAAAATCTCTCTTTCTCTCCCTCTTGCATATACATTTTTTCCTGAAATTGAGAAAAAAATTTAATGCATATATCTATAAATTATAGAAAAATCCCAAAATCAATACAAATACGACAAAGTCGCTGTAAGATAAATACACATGTATACATAGCAGGGGTAGTGCGTGTTGACAGGATCATGTAATTGGTTATGTGTAGTCTTTTAATGTATCGATACAGGTGGGTATAATAGGACCGTTATGTGCAGGTAACAGGGCGGCGTTATCTGATCTGTCTTTTATCACACGTTAACACCACGGTGATGAGACCCCCAAACACCGGGGAGGACCGACCCGGGGGGCTGCCGGAGCGTCCAGGTAAGATATTTCACCCACAGGTACAGGGAGGCGACAGTTGCCCCCTTTGTATCCTTGTTGCGTCTGTAGCATTAGTTAATCTTATCTAGTATTTTTTGCCATCAATACATAATAAAATAAAAACAGAAGGATTTTCATTGGATATTTCGGACATTCTTGTTAAAGCTCTAAAATTCCTACAGGAAGTAAAATGCAAGACAGGGGTCTTTTAAGATGTTTCTGTGAGTGTAACGGGAAAGGGATTTTATTTCACAAAATGTTACTAGTTTTTCGAAAATTGCAGACACACGAAGTAAAAAAAAAAAAAAAAAGATAAAATCCATAGCCAACGAAATAAAAATCTACGATCGTAAAATATTGTTACTACAAATAAATTTTCTGCCTTTGGGAAAAGAAACCTCTGATTTTCACCCATTGTTGTTTGAACACTGTCAAATATTTGCATGAAATTAAGAGACACAGAGTTGGGCAAATATTTCTTTTAAGCTCCTTTTAATTTGTTTTGAATGTGATGGCTGTACGTTAGAAGTTCAGATCACGACAAGGATCAAAAGCTCCGTGTCCCTGACGACAAGCTGATAAGGCCGATATAAAAAAAATAATAAAATACAGTATCACGAACAATCAGCGGTACTGACCGTACACAAACAGACGCCTCCTGACAGGGAACGGTGTTAAATATCTAAAACAATGGATACTTGATGGGAAAGATTTCACATACAGATATAACTGTTTATTAGTTTAACAAAACACTTATATTGGAAGTGCCCCCATGCTGCAATACACTTCTTTTAAATAAGCCTACCACTTCTTGTACATATACCTATGTGAACTTTTGATGGGTTAGTAACTTGTATTGATACAAACTTTTTTTCCAATTTCACAGATGTAAGATGATGTGACTTGGAGATATGGAAGTGCGAATTTTACGGCATAACTACCTTCCGTCTCTATACAGGCAGACGACAGAAAAACTCCCGCTCACCCGACTTCGGCGGGAAATCGACCTTACGATGAAAAAAGTTCTCCAAAATGAAGTTCCAGTTTCTCCGGTGGCCAAAGAGTTGTTTGATCAATGTATGTCTCATCTGCTCCAATACCTGAAAACCAATCAGTACAATTTAGACTGTTCAGAGGCTCCTGTTTATGCCGGGGATGTGACGCCATGGACTCCTTACAAAAAAGAGTGCCCTTGTTACCTGATACAAATGAAAGTAGGAAAACTGGGTGGGACGTACGTCGAACCGGGCTATGTGGTTTTTCCACTGTCGGTCAAAAAGGACAAAAAAGTGATCAAAGTGTATAAACTGGACTTAAGATCTGATGATAAACTACATTTAAGTCCGAAGAAAATGTACAAAGCAGTTTTTCTCGTTTTTGAAGCTGCTATAGTTAAACTGAAAAAGTCATTAGCAAAGAGCAAAAGTACGCTGACAACTGTTAGCAATCACTCGACAGAAACTACGAAGCCAACGAAAACCGACAAACCAGCCATTGTACCAAATATTTATCTTAAGACAAGAGACAAGGACCTTTGTCTTGTGATGTCACTTCCGGGAGGAAATGAGGTAGAGTTAATTCCCACCATCACAGTGTCTCCAGACGGTCCCTTTATTGTTGCCAAGCCGTTTGAGCACGATGAAAACCCGGCTTCAGATATGCTGTGGCGCACAAACTTTTCTCCGAACGAAGAGCATATATTGAACGCTGTCACAAATGGGGATCGCGAACAACGAATCAATGCCGCCAAAATATTAACATTTATGTGCCAAAAAGAATGGAAACTTAATCACGTGACGGCATACCAGGTAAAAAATATACTTATGCATGAAATAGACTTCCAAATTGACCATTCTCCAAGATGGCAGCGATTTACTCCAGAAGAATGTATGCACTTAATTTTGTTGAAAATGCTCGAGTTTTCCAGGGATCGATTTTTGCCTCACTTTTTCGAGGAAGACCTTAACCTTTGGGGACATCTCACAGACAGACAGTTCCGGTTTATGTGTAATGAACTTGAACAACTCACGCGAGACGATGATGAGATGTTAAAAGTCATCAGTCGAATCAGAGTAGACAAAATAGATTACTAGATTTATAACAAGTAGAGCTTTTTTAAAAAGCTTCCCGTCTTTAGCAACAATCTTAAACTGTAAACTGACCTACACCTATCAGGCCGTATAATTCTTTTGAATTTCTTGACTTTGTATTTCTACATTAGCTTTTTACTGGCATTAGCCCTACCACGGTTGTCGCTCGGTCATCTCCGTAAACTTTGACTCGCTGAGAGCTTTCGGCAAACCTCGGCTGATTCCATTTCCTTCTTCAAACAAGAAAGGGGAAAAGAATAATAACAAATTGTAAAGCCTGCAAGCAATAAAAATCAAATTTTATTTATAATGAAGTTAAAGAGATCTTTTTATTTTTTGCTATACAAAAAATCATGTTATTAGGAATTAATTACTGCTGATTTTGTTGTTCGTTTTGTCATTTTTTTTTAAGATTGAAAATCTTGCAAAATTGTTAAGTTCGTACGAAAATTAGATCATCAGAAAGTTATCTCCCTTGCCTTTAACAGCATTTCAACCAATGAAATAATTGAAAATTTTCTCATCATGCATTTTCTACCAATCACAAAAGAGAGGAAGTGCATAGTCCGAAGACTGTAAAAAACTTCAACTATATAATACCGTCTTCCAAGGAAGACGGTAATTATATTATGTTTGTTACCAATCAATCGACTAGGCAGCACTTCTTGCTCTAGTTCTCATTTAGAGATTATTTTTTTTTAAAAGTAACATCTTACTTAAATAACAATATTGAATAACTGACTGTACATAATTGAAATGAATCTTTGTTTAGTTATCAATAATAAATGGTTCCCGCTTCTTTGGGAAAAATCCATGAATTGTATTTAAATTGATGTACGCAATAAAAACAAACTTTGATGTCATATTGTGTCAGCTAGGTCAGTGATTTGTCCTACATTCATGTCCTCTCTGCATAATACCCGGTAAATAGCAGTTGCAACACAGTTAGATTTACCGGTACCACCCTATGAATAAATGTGACGGAAAACGATTATTTACTAGTATTCCCTGTCAAGTAAACCAAGGGAACCTGTTGCCACTCCCCCTAAACAAAGAATTCCTGGATCCCACCTAAACATTAATGTCCTTAAATGAACTTAATCAAACAAAGATCAATATGCCTCATGCCCTAGAATGTAGGTTCTTCATACCAATTGTCAGACGATAAAATCCTTATAGATGTTCCCACACTTTTTTCTTACTGTAAGGTTTAGCACTGGAAAATTCCAGGATTTAGACTGGTATATGGGTTTTTTTCCTATAAGATTTTCCTTGGAAGCCAAACCACCATTGTGACCACTTGAAAAACCGTTGTTACGGGCCTGTATGATGCCACAGGAAATCATAAATGAAAACAAAATTATAGCATTGTTTTCTCCTTCATTATCAGACCGGAAGTTTTATATTTGTTGATAGGTGTTGTTTATCTTAAAGCATCTTCGGCACCAACTAAGACTTTTCTATTATTGACTTTTAAACAGACATATCATGTTATTTAGATTTTCTTCAATCAATAGACTTGAACAGACTGAATCATTAACTCGGCGCTATGTTAAATACTCTTCGTCAGAGACGAACAACTAACTAAAACAACTAAAGACAGCTAAAAAGACACGTAGTGTCACAAAAACCTCATATTGTCTTTCTTAGATACACCAAATAATTTCCCATGTAATAACAGTACCATATAAATCTTTTTTTAAGTTAAAAAACTTCCTCGACCATCAAAATCATTTTTTAATCTCAGGATTAACACATATACAGTGTATACTTAAAGTTGGAAACACATATTACGTAATAAGATAGGAGTTTGAGCACCTGCAGATAAAGGTGTGGAGTTTATGATAAAAGGGACAGCTGCAAGTCTCTATAAAAGCAGAGATACCTTAAATAAAAAAGAACCAACACTTCTCATTCCTATCTACAGTACAATGTTACTTCTAGCTTTTACACTGTGTCTTACGACAGTTACTGCTGCCCCGAGTCAGGTCTGCAAAGAGGCCTTCCATAACGCGGGGATCTCAGCCAGATACAATGAGACAATAGCCCACGCTATTCACTCTATGACGGTGGAGGGCCTGCGGATGTTTAACCCGATGGCGACAGAACAGAACAAAGTTCCTACAGTGAACCAAGACTTATCACAAGATCAGAATGTCCTATCCTACGCTCCACATTTCCACATCTCCACAGACTTCGCCACGTCGACGATGAACATGGTGGACAAAATACTGTCCACTGTGGGGAACTCAAAAGACGGACTGGGACCACACTGGTCTTCTGTTGAGAGAATTGCACACGTTTTCCACATGTGGGATCTATGGCAAAAGGTAGAACCATAATGTTATTTTACACGAAGTTTTTTTTTTAAATCATTATACGATAAGATTCAAGCACAGTTTGTTTTAACTAAAATTGAAGTCTAAAAGGGATTCATATGGGGGTCGGGTTTTGGGGTTACCAAATAGGGATTGCTAAGACATTTGGAATGGTATCATTCTGAAGCTCTGTGTATCGAATAAACTGCATAAGAACGTCTATGCAGGTGGTCATTGTACAGTGTATATTACGAAAGAAATAAGGAAAGTTTACAATTGAAAAGTTGGCGTCAGACGTCACGTAATACATCTTTCATAAAGTTTTTTTTTACAAGGTTACCGTCTTTTTCTAAGATAAATACTATATAGTATCCAAATATCAGAATGAATATGTGAAAATGACATAGATATTGCCAGTTATAATACTAGTATATAATATTAATCTCGGAGTACTTTTGCTTTAAATCAGAATGTTTTTGTTATCAAAAAGTTTATAGGTTACCAATAATTTAAGTTTTATTTTTATTGGTCAAATTTTGTGATTTCTGATCATTAAAATGTTACCAGTGGTTATTCTGAGTTTTAAGTATCCATATTTGATAAAAACCACTTTTGGAATATTTTGTTGTGCAATACTCCTGAAGCTTCTCCTTCACTGTTGTTAATATTTTTCTGAAGAGTAAAGAAAGAGGCTTGATATTTTGATTTTTGGAAAGCATTTTACGAAACTTTTAAAGTATTTTTGAGAAATTCAGTTCGTTGGGTAGAGTTTAGGGTAGGAAAGCGTTGTATTTTTTCTCATAACAATTTTACACTTTCTATTTTGTACCACGTAAATTTTGTGAAAAATTCTCATATTTAAAGATTGTTATATTAGTCTTAACACTTCCCACCTAGTGTGTTTAGATGAAACATGTGGAGAGAATGAACGGTATTCAAGACCAGAAGTCCATAAAACAATAAAAATAGGAGTAAGTTCTATGGTCGATAAAGTGACCTTGTCAGCAAATACAATTTATCATTGAGTCAAATGCTGACTGACGTTTTTCATACTTATTGTTAGTCCATTATTTATCCAGTGAAATGATCCGTTATTTCCCGATCATGACATGGGGCACACAACGGGTGTGACCGGTCAACAAGGGATGCTTACTCCTCTATGGAACCTGATCCCACCTCTGTTGTTTTGGAGGTCCGTGTTTGCTCTGCTCCTATTTTGTATTGTTTTATGGACCTTTGATATTGAATACTGTTCGTTACCTCCACATGTTTCTTTCTTCATAAGATTTAACCACCATTTATCTTACTATTGTGTGATCGCTTACAGATTTACGAGACATCATGGCAAGATGTTCTGGCCAACCCACCTGAGCCAACCACATGTATTTGTCTGAAGGACACCCGAGCTAACGGCATCAAGGCGGCCGTGGAGTGGGTGGCCAAACACTACGAGACGGGAACCCCCATTACTCTTCTGAATCGTCCGATCCCTAAATTGACAGACGCCCAGGCCTGGTCAGTGTGGAAAGAACGTCTGCTGCACTACTACACACCGACGGCTCTCCACGACGCCGCTGTCTACCTGTACTGTGTTACACACAACTAAAACACAACACAAACACATGATAATTTATGTCTATAATATACATAAAGTCTACAATACAAACGATACAAGTGTTTTTCTTTCAAACTTAAGAGAAACTGTTTGAAACATTTGTTTCCATTTCCCATTTTCTCTCCAGCGTTCGAACCATTTATTCACGTGTTCCTCTAAGGCACAAAGACAGTCTGGGAAACTGAATGAGTAAATAACGTTTGTCTGTGTGTCTGTCCTTCTGCCCAGGACTTCCACGTGCTGGACGACTTGTGGATTACCCACACGGTCCAGACTGTCAGAGTCGAACCAATACACAACAGGGTACCCAATGAGGAGACCGAACACAGTGGAAAGATTCACATCCTTAATTTCTGTATACTCAGAAGCCACTCCGTCTTCCATCACAATAGAAAAACACGTGGAGATTATAAGTTCTAAAACATCATTTTTATCTAAAATCTTCGGTGTATCATTTGTTGATGATATATCTACAAATTTTACCATCAATGATTCAGAGTGCAACTTGACGAATTCTTCTGGATTTACAATAAGATAGTCCATTCCTATCGCTACAGCCTTTAAGTTGTTGTGGATAAGATTAGAGCATTTCAAGTCAATCACAAGATTTACTACAGACTCTAAAGTACTTACTCCAAAGTCCACTAAATAGGCCGGTTTAAGTCCGAAATCAACAAACTGAATGTTAGATTGAAGTTCATTAGATCTGTGCTTTAATTTACTTCCTAAATGTGTACTGATTAAGTTCGCCCAGGGAACACTGGTATCCATGACTTGAAAATCTGTATTTAAAAAAGTAGCTTTTTTATAGTGTACAATTGGGAAAAGACATTTGCGATATACAATTATTACAAATAGAATTCATTTCATAAAATCAGCCTTTCTACTTTTCGACATTAATAAATAAATCCCCTCCCTCTAAAAATGGAGAAAAAATTGAAAGCATTTGCAGATCAGAGACGTTTGGTCGTAGATTAGCTTGCCATCTGGTCCGTAGCTACAGAACTGTAGCTCTCTGCTTGAGAAAATTTGAACAGATAAACTAGAGAGCTACAGATCCATGCGTAGTAACAACCTTCGATTTACGCCGACGATTTTTTGTCGCTCACTTCAGGTATTAAGTATTTCTTATACATGTATTTAATATTTCCCTAGCCGTATTAAATGATATCTGATAATTAACGATACATTTAACGCATTCAATATAATGTTTTTTACAAGAATAGCCATTTGTGGAAGTAGTCGTAAAAATGGTAATCTAAAACCGACATTTCAAATCCATAGATGACTGTTTCGGATCGTTGGAAGGTAAATAAAGTATCACTAATTGGACTAAAATATATGATTAATTATTGGATACCATTCTAAGAAGGTAAAAAGTACTAAACTACATAAACTACAAGAAATAATACCTGAAGTAAGCGACAAAAAAATCGGCGGTGTAGATCGAAGGCTTTTACAATGCATAAATCTTTGGCTCTCTGCTTTATCTGTCCGAATTTTCTTAGGCAGAGAACTACATTTCTGAAGCTATCTGTTCCGTTAATATAAACTGCAGATTTTTAGCTCGCTTGTCTGAACAAAACTAAGATAGACAGTCTTGTCACTGCACATTTTGCCACCGATGGACTATCAGTACATATTGATATTAGCACAAAATCTGCTGAGTTTTTTTTCTACTTGCAGAATGGATGAAAAAATGCATTTCCAATCGAGGTGTCGCAGGTTTGATAAAAGATCAAGCTTCCCCACTCACAGCAAGTGGATAAGGCTAAGCTAATGTAAGGTACAGTACTGTTTTTGATAACAAAATCAAATTAAATCGAATGTATATAAATTGCTTTTTGTATATATTGAATACTCACCCGTCTTATAAGTGCACAAATTGGAGCAAATAAAAAAAGTGCAATAATAAAGTATGCTGTTCCTTAAGAACTTTGTAGCTGCAATGGGCTTCCGTATCGAAACTCCTGTCTCGCATAAGATCACACCACAGAGGACCCTGTTCGAGGGGAAATGCGAATACCGTTTCAAGTCATAAAGTCCCACATATAGTGTAGTAAATATTCATCATTAAAATTACTTAAAACTTCACAACATTAACATTGCATACGGTGTTCAGTTAAAGTGACCTAGCACCGTTTGTGCATTACACTACAGTAGACCGTTCGGGAAATATTTCGTTTATATTGTATTGTTCAGTACTTCTCTCTCCTCTTAGATATTTATGAATTTTAGCTAGTTACTCAAAGTAATCCGTCGATATTTGAATGCTACACAAAACCTCGTATACATATATAGGTATTTCAATCCATCGAAAACAAGAGGCCCAAGGGCCACATCGCTCACCTGAGAAAATCTGCTAGGAAAAAGCACAAATCAGAAGGGGGATGTTGAATTTAATACTACTTGAGAATGCTTTCATATTAATACAGCATATGACTTTGCTCATCTTCCCAAGTCAAGAGTTTCTGATCCGCTCCGCCCCCGGAGCGGAGCGGATCAGAAACTTTTGACTTGGGAAGATGGACTTTGCTGTTCTTGATAAAAAATACTTTGAAAACATTTTCTTCCTATATATAACTTCATAAAAACTTGATTTTGATTCCCCATTGTTTCCCTCCCTACCCCAAAGGGCCATGATTTGAATAAATTTAAATCAGGACTTGAACAAACTTAATTCTACACTACCCGTAAATGCTTCCATATAAATACTAGTATCACTAATACATTTGTAATATGGCTTTGCTATTCTTGAGAAGAAGATTTTTTTAAAATATATTTAATGTTAAACTTGGATCCCCCATTGTGACCCCACCCTATCCCTGGGGGTCATAATTTGAACAAATTTGAGAAGACGATTTTTAAAGATTTCCCTATTAAGTCCTATGTAAAACTTTAATCGGCCATTGTGGCCCCCACCCTACCCCCGGGGGTCATGATTTGAAGAAACTTTTATCTACGCTACTTGAGGATGCTTCCACATAAGTTTCATCTTTCCTGGCCCAGTGGTTCATGAGAAGAAGATTTTTAAAGATTTTCCCTATATACTCCTATGTAAAACTTTGGTCGGCCATTGTTGCCCCACCCTACCCCCGGGGGTCATATTTTAAACAAACTTGAATCTACACTACTTGAGGATGATTCCACATGAGTTTCATCTTTCCTGGTCCTGTGGTTCTCGAGAAGAAGATTTTTAAAGATTTTCCTTATATACTCCTATGTAAAACTTTGATCGGTCATTGTGGCCCCACCCTACCCCTGGGGGTCATGATTTGAACAAACTTGAATCTACACTACCTGAGGATGCTTTCACATAAGTTTAATTTTTCCTGGCCCTGTGGTTCTTGAGAAGAAGATTTTTAAAGAATTTTCCCTAAATACTCCTATGTAAAAATTTGATCAGCCATTGTGGCCCCACCCTTCCCCCAGGGGTCATGATTTGAAAAACTTGAATATACACTACCTGAGGATGTTTCCACATGAGTTTCATCTTTCATGACCCAGTGGTTCTTGAGAAGAAGATTTTTTAAAAATGCCATTAATTTTTCACTAATTCATAATTGTCTCCCCTTGGAAGAGAGCGTGGCTCTTCATTTGAACAAACTTGAATTTCCTTTACCTAAGGATACTTTTTGGCAAGTTTGGTTGAAATTGACCCAGTGGTTCTTGAGAAGAAGATGAAAATGTGAAAAGTTTACGACGACGACGTCGGCGTCGTCGTCGTCATCGTCGTCGTAGATAACGACAGACGACGGACAAATTTTGATCAGAAAAGCTCATTTGAGCCTTCTGCTTAGGTGAGGTAAAAAGAGGTGAGTTCCGAACACATTATTTGAATTGGCTTCGCATAGTGAACACATGGAGTAATGGCATGTATGTTGTTATAATTGTAAAATGTTGCTTTGATCTTTATGTTGTTAAATAACAACCAAAGAAATACCAATAAACTGGTAAGCGATTTGATCGATTTAATTCGCGTTATTCATCCAACTTCTTAACTGCTCAGGGATACCCTTTTCGAATGCCATGTCATACGCATTCTAGTTTTAGAGCGGGATATTTTGATTTAATGCCAGTAGTTTTGAAGGAGGAGTCTTAAGTTTTGCTTGTTTTAAATAAAAGCTGAAATATTTATCATTTAGACGCCTTTGCACCTTTTCCGTTTTTTATTAAGGTCTTCCGTCTTCACGGAAGACCTTCATATAATTATACTGTTTCTTATTATTATTATTATTATTATTATTTTTTTCCCCAAAATTTTGTGCAGGCGATTTCTCGAAAACTATTCAGTGGTTTTCAATGAAACTTTCAGGAATTATGCGTCGTTATATGAAGTTGTGGCATGACAAGGAAAATTTGGAATACTCACCTTCGGTTCCAAGATATTGACAGTTTTCTGATTTTAAAACGGAATTTTGTTCCCCCTTTTTTTCAAAAATGGCTTAAGATATTAACTGGAGACTTATTAGAGATGATAGATGATCACTTCTAGATTTGCGGAATTACCTTTTTGTGCGTCGTTACTACTTCCGGTTGCTATCAGAAGCGAAATTAAAAAATCCGTATTTTCTAACTTTTTTGTTTCTCAATATTTTTCATTTATTTTTGGAATGCTAATAAAAACCTTTCTTTTAATGCTCACTGTATCATTTGTTTGAATATTGATAAATCCAAACTCTAGATATTAACATTTAAAAATCTGAAGCGGGTCCAAAATGGCGGCTGTCTCTGTCATATCCGACATTTCGCAATTCAGGGTTTACGAAGTCAGCCGAGCGTTTGCTTGAATGAAAGTAAAATAGGATAAATGAAATGTAAAGGAATACTTGGATTCTCACGTCGTTGTTACGTTATAATTCTGTGTCAAACTATGATTTAATCCTTGGTCGTCTGAAACGTCTTCTATGATTAGTTTTGGCTGGTTCTCAAAGTAGAAAAAGAAAAGACTAAATGTGCAAATGAAATAGGATACCTAGTATCTTTTGTTTTGGAAAATTAGATTTTAAATCATAGGTATAAGTAATAGTTTCTAAGAAACAATATGGATGTACATAGTAAGTATTAAACGTAACCACTGTTTTGCTCATGCAGACTTGTGTCATATTCAAATAATAGAAAAGAAAAAAAATATAAGAAAATCATTTTTCAAAATATCGTTGAATGGAGTTCATATTAACATTCTTGTCTCAAAGATCTGATTTTAATTTATTGAACATAAATTTTATCTGATTCCCTGACTGTAGTAGGCATGCTTTTATCAATATGTTCTTTATCACTTTTTTTCAGCTCAATTTTGCGGGGTTTTTTTTCAGAATCGGGCGGAAGACCTCTCGTTGCTCGCAACGAGTTTCTTTTCTAGTTTACTTTCTTTTTTTAATTGGGAATCATATAATTATGCTGTTTTAACTTGTGCAGTGTCATACATGCCTAATTCCCTTATCTCCTTTAACGAACCACTAATTATCAAGTACAGCTTTTAAAACTTAAATATCGAGGATAAATTTGATTTTATTTTAATATGTCATCAATTTAGTGAATTAGATGTCGATACATTAAGAAATATTACTGGAAAAACCTTCAGTTTTGAAGTTAATACAGCCAGCTGCAAAGTATAAAGAACGGCAAGGAACTGAGGCATTTAGGTATTTACCTTAAACATGCTTTCAAGTGTCACAGAATCATTTTCTGTGTAATGTATATCAGTAGAAATTATATATTACTATTTAAAGTTAATTGATATACTCAGTATCTAACATTATGAAATACCTGTCCTACATATGTTTATAACGCCCTGCCACACATGTATGTTTGATGTATGTTTAACTAGTATTTACTTAATGCTATAAGATGTAAGTCTTGGACATTATACATTAAATAATAAAGATAAAGGATTTTAAACCTGCAACTACAAGCCTTGAAATTGTTCAATTGTATGTTTACATGTATCAAAATTTTCTATCTGCTATTGCATGAATATTATATTTGAAAATTTTGTATTAATAGTGCTCAAGTTATCTTCCGCTAACTTTCAACTTGTTGTTTTTATACCAATTCTCAGTCACCATCACTCAAGAACATACCTTAATTCTTCGAATAAGGTTTTATTCAGTCAATAAAAGAGCAGTTAATTTCCATCGTGTAATTGTCATTAACAGTGAACAACAGTTTCTTTAATAGCCAGCTATTTTTTTATGAATATCAGTCAGAATTTTTACATGGGCAATCTACTGTATATCAACATCTAGAAATATACCATTTGGACCACAACTGGAATATGCTGTTGAAGTTTTGTCTGGATGAACAAAAGCAGACATTACAAAGCTTGAGAAAGTTCAATTATTGCTGCTAGAATAGTAACTGGTCTTACACTTATTGCTTCCAAAAATCCACTTTATATGGAAACTGGATCGGAACCTTTGGAAAATAGAAGAAATCGAACTAATTTAGTAAGAATGTACAAAATACACAACAATTTAGTACCCACTTACATTAAAAAAATAATACCTGATATTAGAGGCTATATTTCATAATACTAGTAATCTACTCCAAATTCTTCCCACTATTCCATGCCCAAATGCAGTATAGAATTATTTAATAAATCTCTTATTCCAGACACAGTTAGAAAGTGGAATGAAATTAAACTCAACATAAGGGAGGCAACTTCCATAAAATGTTTTTAAAAATGTCTGCTAAGCAATATTGTAAACCAAAGTATTTTTCTTTTGGAAAGAGATTTTGGAATATCATTCATACACGACTAAGACATAATTGTATTTTTAACGCTGTCCTATTTCGCTGTCCAAATTGCTCATGTGGACAAATAGAGGATCCCTACCATTTGTTTTTTGTTTGTAGAAAGATATTCTCTATAATCAGGTTACAGTTGACAACAGACAAACAAACAGCTAGACAAACAGACATACAAGACAAAACAAGAGGCCCAGGGGCCACAGCGCTCACCTGAGCACATCGGGCTTGAATTTCCCCCCCCCCCTTCCAGGCGGTCATCATTTGAACAAACTAGAATCTACACTACCTGAGGATGATTCCATATAAATATCACTAATCATATTAAGCTTTGAAGTACTTGAAAAGAAGATTTTAAAAGGTTTCCCTATATATCCTTATGTAAAACTTGGGTTTTATTTTGGCCCCACCCTAGCCCCGGGGGTCATGATTTCCAAACTTGAATTACACTACCTGAGGATGATTCCACATGAGTTTCATCTTTCCTGGCTCAGTGGTTTTTGAGAAGAAGATTTTTAAAGATTTTTCCTATATATTCCTATGTAAAACTTGGGTTGGCCATTTTGGCCCCACCCTTGCCCCGGGGGTCATGATTTGAACAAACATCAATCTACACTACCTGAGGATGATAACACATGAGTTTCATCTTTCCTGGCCCAGTGGTTCTGGAGAAGAAGATTTTTAAAGATTTTTCTTATATATTCCTATGTAAAACTAGGGTCAGCCATTTTGGCCCCACCCTTGCCCCGGGGGTCATGATTTGAACAAATTTGAATCTACACTACCTCAGGATGATTCCACATGAGTTTCATCTTTCCTGGCCCAGAGGTTCTGGAGAAGAAGATTTTTAAAGATTTTTCCTATATATTCCTATGTAACACTAGGGTCTGCCATTTTGGCCCCACCCTACCCCCGGGGGTCATGATTTGAACAAACTTGAATCTACACTACCTGAGGATGATTCCACATGAGTTTAAACTTTCCTGACCCAGTGGTTCTGGAGAAGAAGATTTTTAAAGATTTTTCCTATATATTCCTATGTAAAACTAGGGTCCGCCATTTTGGACCCACCCTTGCCCCGGGGGTTATGATTTGAACAAACATGAATCTGCACTACCTGAGTATAATTCCACATGAGTTTCATCTTTCCTGGTCCAGTGGTTCTTGAGAAGAAGACTTTCAAAGATTTTTTTCTATATATTCCTATGTAAAACTTATTGGCCATTTGGCCCCACCCTACCCCCGGGGGTCATGATTTGTACAAACTTGAATCTACACTACCTGAGGATGATTCCACCTGAGTTTCATCTTTCCTGGCCCAGTGGTTCTGGAGAAGAAGATTTTTAAAGATTTTTCCTATATATTCCTATGTAACACTAGGGTCGGCCATTTTGGCCCCACCCTTGCCCCGGGGGTCATGATTTGAACAAATTTAAATCTACACTACCTCAGGATGATTCCACATGAGTTTCATCTTTCCTGGCCCAGTGGTTTTTGGAGAAGAAGATTTTTAAAGATTTTTCCTATATATTCCTATGTAAAACTTGGGTCGGCCATTTTGGCCCCACCCTTGCATGGGGGTCATGATTTGAACAAAAATTACACTACCTGAGGATGATTCCACATGAGTTTCATCTTTCCTGGCCCAGCGGTTCTGGAGAAGAAGATTTTTTAAAAATGCAATTAATTTTTAACAAATTCATGATTATCTCCCCTTGGAAAAGGGCGTGGCCCTTCATTTGAACAAACTTGAATCCCCTTCACCCAAGGATGCTTTGTGCCAAGTTTGGTTGAAATTGGCCCAGTGGTTCTTGAGAAGAAGTCGAAAATGTGAAAAGTTTACAGACAGACGGACAGACAGACAGACAGACGACAGACGGACGCCGGACAAAATGTGATCAGAAAAGCACTCCTTCGGCTATAGCTAACAATATGCACTCTCCATTCGATCCGGGCGCATAAAAATATGCTTCAAAATTAGAAGACATATCATGTCATTTAGTTTAAGTACATTATTTGCCCCTCCTGAGTGTTTATAAGCGTCCGTATAATCAGAGATAAAAGTTTATTTACACTTGGTGAACAGGTGAACAGGTGAACACGGCCATTGTTCCAGAATGAGTGTTAATCGCCTGTCGGAATTCTACGACAAGATCAAGAACGACCTGGATAGAACCGTCCAGTTCTGGAGACAGCATTCAAAGGACGAGGAATATGGGTAAGGACTCGCGTCTCGTTTCTGTTATACATGCTTCCCATTCTAAAATTTTTAACCATAGACTAGCTATATTTCATCTTCGCTAGCCAAGGGTTTCTGATACGCTACTCTCCTCATAAACCCTTGGCCTACGGTGTTCATAGAAATAGGGATTTTTTTCCACAGTTCTGATTGGATTTCAGTACACCCAGGTCGACCAATCAGCAATTGTTTTTTGTAAATGACGATATTTGCGTTCGGGATACATCTTCACTCTTTAATCTCGGAAATGAAAAACGCAAGTAAACAACGATCCGTAAGATAAAATAGCCATGGTGTCATCCAATATCTTCTAAATATGTGATTAAGAATCTATATTGAAGCTTCAGGTTTGTTCTATAAATAATGAATAATCATAACTCAATTATTGCTTCTTAATTATTCTTGAAAAAACTTTGATTTAATTTTTTTTTAACACGTGTCTTTATTTCTGGCGATGACGCAATCTGTGCGTATCTGATAGATTCGAGATCACGTGACGGAAAACAATCCCGTCTTTTGACTTCACCGTATGCCAAGGGTTTATGAGGAGAGGAGCGTATCAGAAACCCTTGGCTAGCGAAGATGGCTATATTTTATAGACGATATAGAGTATATAATTACACATGTAGAAATCGATCAAAATATAAAACAAGATCTGTTTGTGAAACACTGATGCCCTTCGTATGCCAACATAGTCAAGATTAAACTTTTCTTAAATGCAAAAAATTATTTAATATATTGATACAGTAGGGTATTCTCACTGGAAATAAAATTGTGAAATATGAAAGTTGGCCACAAAAATACATAGATGAAGTATGGAAGCCCTAGCCCTAACCCTCCAAAAGTTATGGCCGATATTAAAAATTTTAAAAAGTAGGATAAACTCTAAGGTCAAAGGTCTTGCTATGAAATAAAAGGTCTTGTTAAATATGTATAGTTTGAAAGGACTAGCCCTAACCCTTTTGAAGTTTTTGTCAAGGATTGCTTTTTAAAAGTAGGCCAAACTCCAAGGTCAAAAGATCAAAGTTCTTGGTATTCAATGAAGGATCTTTTCACAAGGATTACATATGTGAAGTATGAGATCAGTAGCCCTTAGAGTTCAAAAGTAATAGCTATTGTTAAAGTTTTTTCATAAGTACGAAAATCTCCAAGGTCAAAAGGTCAAGGTAATTGATATCTAATGAAAGGTCTTGCCACAAAGAATGCATTTGTAAAGTATGGAAGCCCTAACCCTAACCGCATAGAAGTTATGGCCAAGATTAAAACATTTTTCAAAGTAGTTCAAACTTTAAGGTTAAGGTCAAAGGGTCAAAGTCTTAATATCAAATGAAAGGTCTTGTCACAAGGATAAAATATGTAAAGTATGAAAGTACTAGCCTTTACCCTTTAAAAGTTATGGTGAAGGTTTTGCTTTTTAACTTTACAACAAAATCAAAGGTCAAGGTCAAAGGGTCAAAGTTTTTGGTATTTAATGAAAGGTCTTTTAAAAAGGATTACATATGTCAAAAATGAAAGCCCTATCCTATACTGTTAGATAGTTATGGCCAAGGTTAATGTTTTTTCATAAGTACGGAAATCTCCAAGGTCAAGGTACAATGAAAGGTCTTTCCACAAAGAATACATTTGTGAAGTATAAATGTCCTGGTTCCTACTGTTTAAAAGATACTGTCACAAAGAATACATCTGTTTAAAGTGATAGTACTAGTCATAACTTTTCAAAAGTTATTGCCCAGGTTATCTTTTTTTAAAAGTGGATACAACTATAAGGTCAAGGTCAAAAAATTTTATACCCACTAAAAGGCCTTGACAAAATGAATGGATGTACATATATGTAAGGACTGAAAGCCCTAGCTCCAACTACCGGGGGTATTCAAAAGTTATGACCAAGACGAAAGTGGACCAAACTCTAAGGTTAATTTTACACCCACTGAAAGGTTTTGTCACTATGAATTCACATGCGAGATTTGAAAACCCTAGCTTCAACTGTTCAAATATATGTCCAAGGTTAAGGTGTGGTATGTTTTTTTGTAAAAGTAGGTCAAACTCCAAGGTCAAGGGGTCAGATTTGGTGGTACTCGAAGAAAGGTCTTGTCACTGCAGTGATTGGGATAAGCTGGGGAGTATATGTGACAATGGCGCACTCCAAGTCAGTGTCAATGTGACATTTCAAAATTCAATGCGCCAAACAGACTTTTTGATGGGACATTTCCTAGTTACAAACTTGCAGTTGATTAGTTGTTGTTAGAATTTCAGTTGACTTTACTTAATTGAAATTGTCAAATTATTGAAAGACGACATTAAAAGATACAAAATTAGTATACCGGTATTTAAATTCACAAGTGTCAGAAAATAAACACTTCAATTTAATTTCAATTCTTTATTTTTTGTCTCCGATGTTTGACATCTTTAAAATGATTTAAAGCCTGGTATACGGCTTCCCTCATGTTAAATTTTCGTTTCGGTTTTTCCTCCTAGACTACATCATCAGTCTTACCGTGAGATTCATCACCATTCATTCTGTCAGCATGTTATACTTCTTTCAAGTCATTTTCTACCGATTACTTGAATTCTTTTTGTTAGAATTGTTAAAATTAAGAAAAGACTGCCCCTCATCGGTACGAGGTATTTTCTTTGGCAGCATGCTGCACTCCTGACACCAGTTTATTTCGTGCGTTAGCCAATCAGAAAACACGTAACTGTTTGATTAGATACTGGAGAAAAGAAAGTCATAAAACGACATTAAATACTGTTTTTTCAAGCATAAATTGACAGCGATTGTTGTGGGACTACAAGCACTTGGGGGAAAGCTCAAAGTTTAAAAGTATGTAGTGCATGAATATATATGCGCCACGATGGCGCAACGTTTTTAATTTTAATGTGACATTTTAAAATTTAATGCGACTATGGCGCGGGGCGCGTGCTTATCCCAATCACTGGTCACAAGAAATACAGCTGTGAAATATGAAAGGCCATAGCCCCAACCTACAAGGTTCAAGTTTTTGTGGACAAACAGACAGACAGACAGACGGACACAACAAAAGCTATATATCCCCGAAACTTCGTTTACGGTGGCATAAAAATCAATTATTGGTACAATTAACTCACAGTACAAAACAAGATGTGTTTGTGAAACACTGATACCTTCGTGTGGCAGCTGATATAGCCGGAAAAGAGGAAAGTTTTTTCCCAAGAAATATAAGGTCAAATTGTTCGAATCCAAAGTACGGTCTTTTCACAAGGAATATATCTGTGAAATATGAAAGCCCTAGTACTAACTGTTCAAAAGATATGGTCAAGGTTAAAGGTTTTGAAAAGTGGGGAAATCTCTGAGGTCAAGGTAAAATAAAAATATGTATACCCATTGTAAGGTCTTGTCACAATGAACACACAAGTGATGCATGAAAGCCCTAACAGCAACTGTTTAAAAGTTATGGCCAAGGTTATACATGCAGTTTGGAAATTTTTGGTAAAAAGGGGTCAAACTCTAAGGTCAAGAGGTCATTTTGGTGGTACTCTAAGAAACGTCTTGTCACAAGAAATACACCTGTGAAATATGGAAGCAATAGCCCCACCAAATCAAAAGTTATGGTCAAGGTTAAGGTTTTTGCGGATAAACAGACAAGCAGATAGACAAACAGACTGACAGGGAAAAAACTTGATACTCCGATTCTTCGATCACGGGGGCATAAAATGCTTATAACTTGAATATTTTCGACCTTTTTTTTCAGGGGATTTTTCAATTGTCTAAGTAAAGATGGGAAGGTGTATGATGATACGAAACATGTCTGGCTACAGGCGAGACAGGTATGTTTTCTTAACAATTGTCGATATCTAAAAAAAATGGCAAGATTTTTTACAAAATAAGTAAATATTTTTGTTTTACATACCTATACCTTCATACGAAAGCCCAGAAGGCTCATTCGAGATTCGAGTTTCCAAAGACGAGATTCGAAATTCGAGATTCAAAATTCGAGTTTCGAGATTCAAAATCCAAACGAACCAATCAAAAGCGGGTTCAACATTTGATTACTCCCCTTTATTATGTTTTTACTATCAAGAAATAATTCAATATAATTATATCAAATGGGTCATTTGATTAAATTACAATGCAAGAAAAGGTGTTATATATATTAGACGTAAATTTAAATAATTAATGGATTTTTGATCAGCAAAAAATATATCAATTTATATTATAGATTCTTAAATATTAAATAGATTACATATATCAGGAGTATATATATTTTTGTATTGGCGACTAAGTACCGGCCAGGAGGCGGTCGGCTCTATGATATGAAAGTTCGAAGTTGCTGTGCGTTTCTGCGGAGTTAAAACAATTTAGATAAAAAATATTTGACATTAATATAGTAGTATATTAAAAAGAGCGTCTTAAGGTTAAAGAAGAACGCACCATAAACATAAAATTAAAAATTCTTATGAAGAATGAGGTAAATATTTCATCCAATCCTATTTATGAACTTAGACATGTTTGAGGTGCAGAGAAAATTAGGACATGTATTGGGCGTAGTCTAAAGCAAAGACCGCGTTATGTATATTACGCAATTTTACTTTCTCTATTCAAACGGGATTTGTTGTACGTATTTATTTTAAAATGACGTGTACATATGTACATATATAAACATTTTGAAACATATGTTTAAATGTTAATTCATTAAAAGACTTAGCAGGCTACAGAATATTACAAGATTTGGCCCTTAGCAGACAAGGATAACACGTTTTACAATGTGCCAAGAATTTTCCCGCTACAACTCAAAGAGAAGAAATGTAGTGGCGGATCTAGAGGGACCATAAAAGGAACAATAAATTGGTTTGCGGCCGATTTTTGACGCTTGCGTCAATATATGTTTCTTGTCTTAATTTTTAGAAAAACGCACGTGTGGACAAGACCCCCCCCCCCACCCCCATCCCCTTGATATTGAACCCCAGGGCTTATTTCTCTGTTATGTGTAACCTTACAATACGAAAAAATCGCTAGCGTAAAACCCCCAGAATAATCGCTCAACCAAAAAAAAAAAACAAAAAAAAAAAAACAAAACAAAACAAAAAAAACACAATTTATTACCCCACTTTACAAGAAAGAATGCTGTTTACGGAGAAAATGTGGGATTATTACGTGATGCAGAGTCAGTCCGATAGCATGGACTAAGACAGAAATACATTGTATATTTAGAGACAGTGACTGCAGTGGCGGATGAGGGGGGTTACGGGGGTTGCAACCCCCCCCCCCCCCTTTGGATTTGCAATTTAAGAGAAAGAGAAATAAGAAAGTTCCAATTTTTTCGTTGTGTTTTTACTATAGGAAATGTAAGGTGAAAAGCTAATGTTGTATTATATAAAGAAATTCGGTTGTAAAAACAAAATAAAAACCCTCCCTTTACAAAATAGGATTTTCAGGTTCGGAGATTTATTTTCCTTTCTTTTTCAAAAACTTTCTGGTAATGTATACAAGTACTTTTTCCCAGATTGATCAACGTCCCACTTTCAAAAACCATACTCCACCCTGTATCGATATTCTATTGAGTTATTTAACTATATGTATGTGTACAACGTACGTTTTAACTGTTTTCGCCTTCAACCCCCGCTTTTGAAAAATACTTCACCCCCCCCCCCCTTTTGAAAAATTTCTGGATCTGCGCCTGCAGTGTGAATCGACATTTAAAGTTAAAACAAAATAAATGCATTTAATACCAGAGGGGGTACAACGTAAACAGACTGGAGTGGCATATCTTTCTCTTATAATGTATTGTGGGTATTTTGGGGGCATGTTGAGCGATTATTCTGGGGATTTTACATTTTTTTGTTATTGTATATATGATGAATAAGTTAAATAAATATATCTTATGAAAAAAAATTTCCAATAAGCCCTTGGGTTGAATATAAAGAGAGTGTGCGGAGGGGGGGGGGGGGTCCCACCCACAAGTACCTGTAGTTTTCCTAACAGAAGAAATTCATAAAAATGACGCTTAGTAGACAATTCAAAAATGTATATACTCCTGATATATGTAATCTATTTAATATTTAAGAATCTATAATATAAATTGAAATCTTTTTTTGCAGATCAAAAATACATTAGTTATTTAAATTTCCTTCTAATATATATAACACTTTTTCTTGCATTGTAATTTAATCAAATGAACCATTTGATATAATTAATTTGAACTATTTCTTGATAGTAAAAACATAATAAAGGGAAGTAATCAAATGTTGAACCCGCTTTTGATTGGTTCGTTTGGATCTTGAATCTCGAAACTTTTTGAATCTCGAATTTCAATTTTGAAATATTTGGAAACTCGAATCTCGAATGAGCCTTCTGGGCTTTCGTACCTTCATGACATGCTTGGAGGATTTAAGACAGTTATAATGATTAATGAACGTAAATCAAACGATGTGACAATAACGCGTTTACCGAGGGGATGCTTCGCTAAGCGGTAACCTAGCTAAATGTTACGCCCCGTAATCGAAAATTCGAAGTATATAGTTTTCGCCCAGTCTGTCCGCTTATCCACAAATACTTTAATTTTGTCCATAACTTTTGATTAGGTGGAACTTTGACTTTTACATTTCACAAGCGATTTCTTATGAGTTGTGACGACTTTTCTTTGGGTGTCAATGTATTTGACATCTTGACCTTGCAATTTGACCCATTTTTGCAAAAAAAAAAAACCTAAATTTAAACTTGGTCATATTTTTTTTGACAGTTAGTGCTAGGACTTTCATGCTCACAAATATTTTCATACTTTTTTTTACCTTGACATTAGAGCCTGCATTTAATTAAAAAAAATTGACCTTGGCCATAACTTTGAACCGTTGGTACTAGGATTTTCATATTTTACAGGTGTATTCTTTAAGGCAAGACCTTTTTGGCTCATAGACCTTGAGCTTGGAGTTTTGACTTGCTTAGAAAAAACTTTAACCTTGGCCATAGTTTTTGAATAGTTTGCGCTGGGGCTTTTATTATTACACATGTATATTTCTTATGACATCCTTTCTCTAGGAACCATTCAATTTTGAGTCATGTCGTGACCTTGGAATTTCATCCACTTTTATTAAAAATTAACTTTGTTCAGAGCTTTATGAATGGCTGGTGTTTGATCTTTTCTATTTTAAAGGTGTATTCACTGAGAGATCTTTCTTTTGGTAACAACATTTTTGATTTATTGATCTTGGAGTTTGACTTGCATTTTAGAAACTTTACCTTGGCTACAAATTGCCATACGGGGGTATCAGTGTTTGACAGACGGACGCATATTGTTTGGATTATTTGTCTTTGTGTTCTGTTTGGGCTATTTTGTTTAGTAGGCTGGGATTATTTGATATTCATTTCTGTTTATTTATTTGAGCTATTTTGTATTGTTTGTCGGTTTGGATTATTAAATTTTTTTTTATGAGTTCTATTTGAGATATTACGTATTGTAAGTTTGGATTATTTGCCCATGTTTTCTATTAGAGCCGGTTTTTTTTTATAGGTTTCGATCATTAGCATGTGTGTTCTATTTGAGTCGTTTTGTATAATGTAAGTTTGGACTATTTTTGTTTGTAGTATTTGAGCTGTTTTGTATGAGGGCTGTTCAATAAATAATGTCATGAACTCTGTAACGTACAATATAGAAAATATTTTACATTGACTTTGGCTTTCTCTTAATATTGAATCTTTAATAAATTGATAACCGTTCATGTGATCTCGTTTCATCATATACATGTAGTTAGAGAAGCTGGAAAACAAGGGCTACTCGAGACACTGCATTAAAAATGAATGGTAAAGAATCTCTCAGTTCAAAAATTTATGTAAACTTATGAAGTAAAATTAACGTGTCATTAAAGCTGCTGTAAAACTTCTTAAACATCCAAATGAAAAAAAAAAAGAATCATATCTGAAAAATGTTATGTTTACAGCAACCAATGTTTTTAAAAAGTAAAAATTTAATATAGACACATGAGCAATTAGGTGTTTGTGTGTGTACTTTATATATGATCAAAAATGATATTATAGGCATCAAAGAAAAATGAAAATCAGAATTTTATATTGATGTGTAAAATTAGAACCGGATCTGTAAAAGTGTGGGCCTTCCTTAAACAAGAGTAAAATTAACGTGTCATTAAAGCTGCTGTAAAACTTGTTAAACATCCAAATGAAAAAAAAATCACTGAAAAATGTTATGACTTTTGTTTTACTACAACCAATGTAATATTTGTCAAAATTTATCAAATTATCATCGATGAAGTTTTTTTTTACTTTAAGACGCATAGGAAAATAAGAAGGCATACTAGTAAATTTGAGGGGTGGTCAACATTCTTTTAGAGAAACATTTGACAGTTAAAAAGCTTAGTACTCAATGGTTACCCTCTATGTTTGGACAAATGAGTAAAAACATCAGCGTGTAAAAATATCCAAACGATTATTATTTAAAAATCAGAAATTGTATAGTTATCCACGTTTGTCTGAAATTCTTACAGATAATAAAACCTGAATCCATGGATTTGAACCCCCAAAAGAAACATGAAAACAATGCACGTGACCTAAACAGCAAAGTTTTCAGATGAGACAAGATTTCCAAGAGCACAAAAAAGTTAAAGCCATATATGGCGTAACTGATCAAAAAAATATATTTTTGAAAAATTCAAAATTAAGTAAAGAAATATAGTTAATACATTTAAATTAAAGCTTTTCATACAATTCTGAACACGGAGAGCACATCGTCTAATACATGTAATACGATTTTATCTTCTCTGTAATGTGTTATTTAAATCTTTTGTATTTTCTTCCGAGTCGGAGAAAATTCCGAGAATCAAATTTAAATTGTGATATCTTTATAACGCAATTGACTTAGATTTTGTAATTTACGGAAAAGTTCTATCTTATTTTTATATAAAGTAATGATACAAATAATAAGTTCTTATAATTTTAGTCTAATAATTTCCATTGTACATACGCCATATATGGCTTTAAAAGCCATTTTCTTCAATAGTAGTGGTCCAATTGTTCAGATTTTTTTTCGGGGAAGCCGTTCAATTTCTGGACGAGCCTTATAAGCAGGCAAAACTTTTGCCAAAATCGAAAGGTTTATTAGAAAAAGGAACCAGAATCGATTATTTATTACATTCATTTTCTTCATGACAGAGTCCAAACCAACACGTCCTGAATAGAAAAGGGATTTTCGGAATAAGCAGAAAGTTCATGTTTTGTCACCCCAATAATATTCGCAAGATCTTTCACCCTTGAACTAGTTTCATTTGCCAAACTTGAAAAAAAACACCTTCCAGAAACAAGAAACTAGTGTCGTTTACTGATTTTTATTTGAAAATTAAAATACGTATACACGATACTCAAAAATGTTCTAAAAACATAAACTTTTTAAGGAATATTGGATATAAGTGTTACAGACATGTGTTTCAACTAAAGGGACAAATTTCAGGGAAATAGTTAAGCGGTTTTTTGGTTTCTTTCGGAGCACTGGTGACATTATTTATTGAACAGCCCTCGTATTGCAAGTTTGGATTATTTGTGTACATGTATGTGTTCTATTTGAGCCGTTTTGTGTTGTAAGTTTTTGTTATTTTTGTTTTATTTGAGCCGTTTTAAATTGTAGGTTTAGATTATTTGTGTATGTGTTCTATTTGAGCTGTTTTATATGCTAGGTTTGGATTATTTGTCTACGAGTTCTTTTTGAGCTGTTTCGTATTGTAGGTATGGACTATTTGTCTATGAGCTCTTTTTTAGCTATTTCGTATTGATTGTCTATTGGTTCTTTTTGAGCTGTTTCGTATATGTCTACGAGTTCTTTTTGAGCTGTTTCGTATTGTAGGTATGGACTACTTGTCTACGAGTTCTTTTTGAGCTGTTTCGTATTGTAGGTATGGACTTTTTGAGCTGTTTCGTTTCTTTTTGAGCTGTTTCGTATTGTAGGTATGGACTACTTGTCTACGAGTTCTTTTTGAGCTGTTTCGTATTGTAGGTATGGACTACTTGTCTACGAGTTCTTTTTGAGCTGTTTCGTATTGTAGGTATGGACTATTTGTCTACGAGTTCTTTTTGAGCTGTTTCGTATTGTAGGTATGGACTATTTGTCTATGAGTTCTTTTTAGCTGTTTCGTATTGTAGGTATGGACTATTTGTCTACGAGTTCTTTTTGAGCTGTTTCGTATTGTAGGTATGGACTATTTGTCTACGAGTTCTTTTTGAGCTGTTTCGTATTGTAGGTATGGACTACTTGTCTATGAGTTCTTTTTAGCTGTTTCGAATTGATTGTCTGTTGATTCTTTTTGAGCTGTTTCGTATTGTTGGTATGGATTTTTCGTCTATATGTTCTATTTTAAGTGTATGAATTTCAAGCTATAATATACGTGTTTTATTTGAGCTGCTTCGTATTGTAGGTTTGGATTATTTGTGTATGTGCTTTATTTGAGTTGTTTTATATGGAAGGTTTGGATTATTTGTCTGTTATATTTGAGGTATGTTTTGCATTGTAGGTTTCATCATTATTTGTCTTTGTTTTATTTAAGCCGTTTTGAATCGTAGGTTTGGATGTATGCTCGATTGTACAATGAGGTAGAAAGGTTCAAAGACGATGATCTACTACTACAGGCCGTGAAAGGTATACTGGTTTTATTATTTGTTATTGTTGCAATTGTCATCTCGCTCATTTCTTTGCAACTTTATGCATTTGCCATCCATTAAAAATTGCATATATGTTACACGGTTATTATGCATTATCAGTTTCAAGATTAAGCCTCTTTAATTAAATATACACATTTTAAAGTTAGCTGCAGCTGGTTAGAGATATACATGTAGTTTATGTTTTATAAATACTGTTGGAATGCTTGTTACAGCGTGATTTTATTTTAGGTGCTGACTTTCTCATGAAAAATGTGCGAGACCCCAACACATACAAATGCCCCTTAATTATTACCAGAGATGGGAAACCAATCAAGATCCAGAGAACCCTCTTCTCCGAGTGCTTCTACCTGATGGCTGTGTCCGAGGTCGCCAGAGCAACAGGAGTAGGAAAATACAAGGTAAAAATTCATTCTAATTAAGCCTCACTTAATCTTTTCTTTTAAAGCTCTTTTTGGATGTGTAATACCCACTGTAAATTTTCTACAGAAAGAAGCAATCACAATGATGGATAAGATAACAGGCTGGATACGGAGTCATGGGGAGGGTTTGGGGTCTCCCAACTTATCTGGTGTAAGGCCCAAGAGTATGCTAGCTATTGCAATGATGACACTTTGTATCATAGATCAGCTCAGAACAATGGACCCAAGCCTTAACTATGACGATCTGAAGAAATGGGCACTAAGTGATGCACTGAAGCATGTTCAGGTATTTATACTGTGTTCGTATCATCCAACATTCCGTAGGAAATGAATCCTTATCCTTTATCAAATATACTAGTATGCTAGACTGCAAAGCATTTTTGTTTCTGTGGTTTGGACTACAGCTGAGAGAATCTGATTGACAACAAATCAAAATATGTAGGATGGTCCTCAGTGGAAAAAAAACCCTTATGTTCTTTTAAAGCATATTTTACTTGTATGTATAAAGCTCTGTCATTCATGAATACAACTTTTTATTTGTGTTTCCTCAAAATTCTTTGCATTCTATCTAAAGAGGAATGGGACCGTCATACTAGAGACCACGACCAATGATGGGAAGGAGATGAGTGGAAGTGCAGGCCGGCTGATGATACCAGGTACCTAATAATAAATACAGCTCATTTTGTCTGATCATAAAACAGGCGTGATTTCATCTGTTTATAACAGGTCATTCCATTGAAGCTGGATGGTTCCTTCTAACTGAAGCCACTCATTCTGACAATAAGGATCTGAAGAAGGTGGCGATAGACAGCTTTATTGTGCGGCCTTTTGAGTATGGCTGGGACCGGGAGAATGGTGGTCTGTTTTACTTCCTGGACGTGGATGGGTGGTGCCCGGTGCAGTTGGAGTGGGACATGAAGCTTTGGTGGGCCCACAATGAGGCACTCATTGCCTTCCTGATGGCCTACAAGGAGACTAAGGACCCAACTCATCTGGACAAATTCGCTCAGATATTTGACTACTGCTATTCACATGTAAAACATAAGCCACATCATGACATTCGATTGAAGTTAAACTACTTCTCCTAAAATTTAATTGATAGTGTTGTTGGCTTTAAAATGAACCCATTCTGACTATTCTTGTTAATGCGAGTTTATCCAAATCATGAACATTACATTTCAACAACAAAGTGGATTACTAGTAATTCAGGTTCTGGTGTGTAATCTAATGCAAATTTATGCTAGTGTTCATTCCTAAAAAGTTTATGTGCAACATGAATCTGAACTTACTAGCATTTGTAAAAGTACCAAAAATATGAAAGTGCTTACTTACATATATAAATATCACTGATAAGGCTTACTACATGTAGTTTATTAAAGCAATGCATTTTATATACATGTAATTTCATTTCTATCTTCAGTTTGTTGACAAGGAAAATGGGGAATGGTTTGGCTACTTGAGAAAAGATGGTTCTGTTAGTTTGGATTTCAAAGGTGGACCATGGAAAGGTACATAAATTAGCTACTATGAAATCACAAATTTTCGTGGGAGGTTGTTTTCGAGGTATGAGGAGCCCCACGAATTCATGTCCACCAAGTAAATGTAAAATGTTACATACGAAATCAAATCCCCACAAACCAAGAGATTTTCCTCAACCCACGTAAATTTGACCCCGGGAAAATATGTGATTTTACAGTATCTCTAGTAAACAATGATGCCCATTGAATGCTCAGCTAGGCCCCAGGATCATGAAACAAACTTAGACCTAAGTCAAATTTTCAATTGCTTTTAAAATATTTATTGATAATTGAATTAATATCTACATTTGCAGATATCAAAACTATTTTGAAGCAACATTTACAAATGTTTTAGTTTTTGTCTCCTTGACTTCATTAACAGTTTAGTACAACATAAAGATTTTGACTTAAGTTTAAGACCTTTCATGATCCTGGGACCAGGAATCTTTGTTGTTCTTAAGCCTTTATATTTAATGTGCTGTAATAAAAGCCGTGTGATAGATGTACATCACTGTATTTTCTTCTAGGTTGTTTTCATGTTCCACGATGCCTGATGATGTGTGAGAAAATGCTGAAGGAGCTCCTTGAAAATAAAAACTGACAGTTTTCTCTTGTGTTCCATTGTAAATTATATACTGTAATGTTATTGATCAATGTTTAAAGCAGCAAAGTCTAGAGTTTATAATGTAACGATTTATTGATATTGAGTAACAGGACCACATATTATGTGATAGTACCTTGCATATACCTCAATACAAGCAATATAAAAAATAAAATTGAATGATTGTCATGTTTGTTAAAAAAGTATCTGTATTCTAAAACTAAAGCTTTCCATTCTGATACATAGACATCATAAACTATCTAAGTTATAGACCACTATTGGATTTGTTTTCATCTGTTTCTTTGACACAGACTTTTCTTATAGTATCTACTCTTAGATATTATTTTTAAAATTCTGAATTCAAAGAAAAACTCATCATTACAAAGATGTTGGTAAATTGATTTCAAGAATGTTCATAGCTAGAGACCCTTTTCCTTTCTTATCTTATTCCTACATTTGTGCCCCCTGGTATGTAAAAATCCTATCCATCATTGCAGTCTCACTCTCATGATTAAATAAAATATGAGTCTCTAGTTTAGAGAAATGTTCATTAAATCAATTAAAACTTACGTTTTTTCGTTACATTTTTTAATAAATGGAGATTTCGTTTGCAATTATTCAACGGCTATGACTTTGTATTACTCCCTCATCCTCCTGACCTTTAGAACTCGGTTGTACACGTAATACTTGATCTGCTGCCAGGTGCAATGTTTGAGGGCCGAGCTACACACGTAGACAGTCAGATTACCCGGGGTCACACAGCTCGTTATGAACTTCTGCATGTGTTTCTCCTAGCTTAGCTTCCTACTTTACCATCCTCGCTGTAACACAATGCATATAGCTTCATCAATTACATAGCTTATTGTGCATATTAAGGTTTACCTCATATTTCTATGATTCAAGAAAGTTAAATAAGAGTCATTCAGTCAAACAATTCATTGAGGTACCTGTTTAATGCATGTGAAATTGACCTAAATACCATTTATGATGAATTGACAGACTTTAATGTTATCATCTATATACAAAGATTGATTGATTGATTGTATAATGTTTAACGTCCCTCTCCAGAATATATCAGAGATATGGAGACGTCACCATTGCCAGTGAAGGGCTGCAAATTTAGGCCTATGCTCGGCACTTACGGCCTTCGAGCAGGGAGGGATCTTTATCGTGCCACACCTGCTGTGACACGGGGCCTCGGTTTATACGGTCTCATCCGAAGGACCGTCCCATTTAGTCGCCTTTTACGACAAGCAAGGGGGTACTGAGGACCTATTCTAACCCGGATGAAAGAGATGGACAAGAGGATTACAAACTTTTTGAGTAAAAATGATGGTTCTGATGATCTACTAGTATTCAGATACTGTAAACCAGGTTTTATTCGTGTGCAAGAAAAATCAGTGATTTGTCAGGACCTACTTTAACTCTCAAATATTAATCGCTGCAGGCCATTCCTTTTGCTTTTTATGCTTCCTAGGGCACAAAAATTTAATCTTTTTGGTTTACAGTAATAGCAATCTGAAAGGAATATTATTAATGCCTAATGAAAGTTTCATCTAATCAATGATACGATAGCTTACGATCTCTCAGTTATTTATTTTACATTTTTGCTTGTCATTGTTATCTGTTGTCCATGGCTGTACACATGACCAAGAGCACAGGATTCGGCGTCTAAATCTGCACCTGTAGTTGAACAGACAAAGCACAGAACTACATTGTTGTGACACATATTTTTTTTATACGAGGGAAGACGGAAGGAGGAAAAGAAAGTAGAAACAGATTGGGTATGATGAGTTAAACCTGTTAAAACCTTACTGATGGCTGTCAATCCATATGCATTGTATCGTTGCGCTTTAATTGATGACAAACATGAGGCAGTTACTATGAAAGGATTCCCAGCAACACATTCATTCCCACCTTATGAAAACAAAAAGGTCTCACTTTGTACTTTCAGATGACCTTACTGCCTTTTTCGTTATTTCCCGATCAAATCAAGGAGCACACGGCGGATGTGACCGGTCTCTGGGGGCTCTCACTCCACCTTGGCACCTGATCCCACCTCTGATATTTTAGAGGTTCGTGTTTGCTTTTCTCTCGGTTATTATGTTTGAAAGTACTTTTGAGATTTAAAACTGCACATTATCTCCATATCTTTCATCCGTAACATCATTTCTAGATTCTTGAGAGATTACCAAATTTTGGATTAGGCAAATGATACTTAGTAGTGGTAACCGCCTTCCGCTGGACCTCCAGTTATATCTAAACCGAGTATGTATCAGGACCCTAGCTACTACACTCAATTACAGGAAGAGTGGCTTGGCAACGTAATTAATTCTGAATAAATCACAAAAAATATTGAATGAAAACACATTGTAAATTATTTTTATTGTAAAAGTGAATATATACTGAAAGGAAAAAGAAACGCATAATAAACTTTAGAATAAAATTAAAACTTTTATTTTCAATATGTTTTCCAGTATTGTTATCAAACATTTTAATTCAACTTTAAACAACAATTAACCGAAATCTTATGTGACTTTGACTGGTAATTCCTGAGTTATTGAAATTGATATGTCGATACCCCCAAAATTAAAATAAAAATTCTCATCATCTCCCTTGCGCATCAGTAACCAGATCATTTATCTTTCTCAAGGATTATCATACAAGCCTTCCGACGGTAGTCTTAATGGTTGAGAGTAGCTGTATTATTCCGAAGCTAACAAATCCCCCCGCCCAATGAATCCAATGAACCGAATTTTCGATTTAGGATAGAATTTACAGAATCTAGCTGATTTGGTACACGTGAATGTTTGTAAGGAAGTATCGACAAATACTGGCTACATTTTCTCAGCGTGAGCATGCTAAAAACAATACGCATACGGCGCGTAGGTGCGCGTGTGGGAGTAAAATAGACGTAAAGTTGCTAAGCTTGCGTACCGAATTAGAGCAGAGAGTTTCTGTCAGTATTAGGGTGAAAATATGAGTAGGATTGCCTGCCATAAAAAATATACGTTTCAGTGATAATGACTTGACAATAACCGAGGTAGCATGATGAAAAGCCCTATCTTGATGTGACGTTGTTACGCGCCAACGTCACCCTCATGGTTGGTTGGAAACCTTTTAAGTTACTCTCTGACAACAAAAAAAAAACTTTTTTGGTTGAAAAATTAAAAACAAACTGCACAGCAACATGTTGTTGCCTTTTTATTCACTTAATAAAATATGCAACTCAATTACTAGACCCAATGTAACTTCCGGTGTAACGACGAAAAGTGACCCCCGTAGAATATTGCCGGGGGGTAATTTTTCTACGTAGAAATTTGACCCCCTGGTCAATATTCTACGTAGAAAAATGACCCACTTTTCTGTAGAAATAATGGCCTTGGGGTCGTTTTTCTCCGTGTGCATTGTAGAAAAATGACCCCGTAGAATAATGACCCCTTGTCATTTTTTTGATGCAAAAACATTCGTTTTGGTAGGAATATTTTTGTTAGGCGAATGTATACTGGTAATATCAAGCAGCCTTATGCTTTGAAGTGTTAATTTCTGAAAGCTTTTAAGCTAAAATAACGAAATCAAAGCTATACAATACCTTATATTAATAATACAAACCGTTTTATCCCCATTAAAGGAAAACAATATCTTTTAAAATGTTCTATTAGTCTATTACATGTAAAGCAAAGATACGTCGTGCATTCATAGAATCGTTTATTACATTTTCTACGGTAAGTTTCCATAGTTGTAAATTCTTAAAAAGGTCATTTTCTCGCTGGTGTTAGAAATTTTTCCATGATTAATTAATTATAAATCTCTTTGATTTTACCCTGAATAAATGATTTGCAAAACTCAAAATAAAGTTTTATTTTTGAAAAGTTTCAGGTTTTTGATCCGTACTTTTAAAACGGGTGCGAAAAAGGGCGCTAGCGTAGAAAATTAAATCTTATAATAATATTTGGTTTTCTGACTATTATTGAAGTTTCAAACTTCTCATAAAAAATAGGGATGATTTAATTTGTAAAATAAATACGAAATAAAATTGCCTCTGACCTATGATACAAAGGAAAATTAAATCTTATAATCATGATAATAATATTTGGGTTTCTATTAATGAAGTTTCAAACTTCTCATAAAAATAGGGATGATTTAATTTGTAAAAATAAGTACGAAATTAAATTGACTCTGACCTATGACACAAAGGAAAGAAAAAGTGCTTAGCTCAAGACCTGTAAAATGTTTTGTCGTTTGCGAGTGTCAACAAAACCTAAACAAAACGGGGGTTATAGCATAAAACATGGTTAACAAAAAAAAAAAAAGAAGTGCTCGTCTTCCCCGTTTACCCCCAAAAAAACAAATGTTGGATTATGGAAAAGTTGTTATTTACATATTATACTTATGCCCCCGTTTAAACAAAGTTTCGGGGGTATATGTTT